ATTTTTTTTTTTTATTCATCGAGGTTTGATCTACAAGCATAAGTATATTTATAAAATATCAATTTCTAATTTCTTTACTCGGGTTCGGAAAAAACATGATTACTCACCATTTTTTCTACAGCCACCTCCATTGTTATTCGCAAAATTGTTTATAGTACAGATGATGACATTTCACCGGCTGAAAACAAATTATTTGATTTATCTCAACGCGTTAGAGAAATAAATCGATTAATCAATTTATCACCTCCTGCAAAAATAAGCAGTGCAATGTTAAAACAAAATAAATACACCATCTCAAGAAAAGTTTTTAGAAATTTACAGTTTGAATAATTTAGTTTATCTACAAGATAAAGAAACTACAATGCTGAATATTAATTTACAAGTTACAGAATCCCTTCCTGTAATATCGACTCCGGTGAATAATAGTAGTTCTAATAACACTCACGGGAAAATGTATAATGGTAATCAGGAAGAAAAAACTGAATACATATTTCTTAAGAACATGTCCCAAATCAACTGAACACTTTATTACACCGTTGAGACCTACTCCAGTTAAATAGATATCAAGTCGTGTTAAGACTAACTGTAATGCTAACGTATTTGTTTGTAGAAGAGTTAGTAAAAAAAGTGGTATTACAGTATAAATTTCATTCGGTGTTCAAAGCTAATTCGAACTAATTAATAAAAAAAGTAATTCCAGAAAGTATAGACTGTGAAAATAAAGACAACGCTCTTTCTGTTGATATTTCAAATGTGATATCTTAACAAAATGATAAACTTTGTCGTTGTGGAATATTTCCGTCTCAAGTTCCTCCTTCTTGGAATAATTCATTGATAAACATCTGAATTTGTATAAAATTAAATTTAAAAGTCAAACGGCCAATGATGTGATAAGTAAAATTAATGATAATAGATTTCTGTATGATATAATTAATTTAACAAATTCTGATAACGATAAATATCTCGTGTCGATACTGAAGAATATTAACCAGTTTATTAACCTAGAACTCAAATACTCAAAAAAAAAAACGTAAAAAATTTAAAAAATCATTCAATATTCATGGCTATAAATCACAATTCTGAAATAATTGGGTAGGTATTTAGAAATAGAGTCATTAAAGAATGCTTGCATATTTTAAAATAATGAACTTTCGGAGAGCTTGATTAACGTTAAGTTTGGTGTATTAAAGTTGTGGGTGGTGGCAGGGACGCCCGGATGGGGGGCCAGTGGGGGCCATTGCCCCCCCTGAGATTTTCGCGTCCCTTACAAAATTGGAAGTTATTTTACATAAAGCTGATCTTGGGTATTCAGTGACTATTCGACAATCCTTGTATCTAACAAGTATCTAACATTTTTTTTAATCAACAAATGATGATTTAATTAATTTATTTGCTTCAAACAAAAGGAGATTGTCATTACTTTTTGAATAAAATAATAAAATATGATGCGAATTCAATCAAATAAAGTTGTTTTTTGTTTAAACTTTATTATATTTTTTCTTATAAATATTAAAACTAATAACTAATAATGTAATTTTATATAAACTTAAATGAGTTTTGATTTTTAAAAAATTATTAATGATAGTAATACAAAATATGAGTAGATGAAATATATAGCAGTAAATCTTCCTATAAGTATTTAGGTACTTACAATTTTTTTGCCCCCCCTGAGCTACATTTCTGTAAGCGTCCCTGGGTGGTGGTCAAGTTTAGAAACTATGGAGAAATATCAAACTTATTGAAAAAAATAAAGCTATGGAATAAATTTAATTATTAACAGCATTGCTTTTGCCTATCATGGTGGTCGAAGAAATTCGTTTATCAAAAAGTATTTTAAAAATAACTGTTGTAATTTATTAAACTTAGGTATCTTATTTTTCTAAATGTTCGTTACTTAGCATTTTATTCAAATATTTTCATATTTTCATAATGATAATTGTGTAAGGTGTATTCAATTTTAAACATTAAAATATATAGTTTTGTTAACTATACTAAAAACTTTCCATATTTTTATGTTAATTTTTATTAGTTAATACATTATAAGATTTTGTGTATACCTGTATTATTTATACTTAATAAACTTAATAAGTAATACACTGTATACGAAATGCTCGTATTCATATTCCATTGTCAGGATATTATTACATACGCATTCGTCCGAGTGTTTTACGCACCCATCATTTATCAACTACTTGATACTTTTCGACAGTGGTGGATTTAAACCAAACCATTATTTATCAAAAAAATGATTTGATGACGATGTTGTGATCGATAGTACTGCATGCGTAATTTTAGGTTTAAAATCAAAGGGAAAAAAAATGTCTTTGGGTTCATAAATCATCAACAATTCATGGACAATACGTGTGATATCTGCGATTCATAGGTTTATGATTAATATCTATGATTCCCAGAATTCGTTCTCCCGTGGTTGTCTTGATCATGAGAGATAACATAAGCTGACAAAATGAATGTAGTTTATTTTTAATATAAATTAATAATTTTAATATTTTGTGTATAAATGTATAATAGACACGGAAAAACGAGGGGGACATGTCTATATCTTCCCTCCCCTCAATAAGCGCCCTTGGGTTCGTCCAAGTGTTGTAACGAGGAAATGTTATAGTGATATTGATTAAATGATTGATCTTTATTATTTTTGACACAGGCAAACTTTACCACTAAAGTCAACTCCATGGTATGTTAGGTAGGTAGGTGAAAAACAGCAAAAAACGTATGTTGAAATACTTAAAATTATAAGTGGAATAGGTTAGTCAAAAACTAATCGACCATCTGAACACAAAATAATGCATTTTCGTAAAAAAAATGTTAGTTAAAACGTTAGAGACACGACTGGTCCGGACGTACCGTTATATTGTGTTAACGACAATGTTTGTGAACGTCCTTTGAAGTTTATCGCTACTCGACCGATAGCGAAAGTATGTCGCCGTCAAGATCTGTGGCAACACCACAAAAACATACTACTAGGTTTGTCGGCGAAAATGTCGAAAACACGTGTTCCCGAGAAATGTTTCTTTGGTCTGGATCGCAGCCTTACGTTTGCCGCACGACAACGAGCAATGATCCTCGTGTCGCGCACAGCATTTGGGTAAACGCGCGAGTGTAGACAACATCTTTCACGTGGCCAAAAATCCTGTTTTGCTTATCAAAAAGGAAAAAAAATGCAATTGTATGCGCGTCGATCTTTTCGTTTTTTAAACTAAGGCGTAGTAGTACCCAATCGTCACAATGTGTTCGTTTAATGCGCAAACGTCCAGTTGAAAATATGTGTACAGTTGTTATTATTTACGACGATAATAATTAGTATTTTTATTATTATTGATATTATTTTTATTGCATTTTACTGTTATTATAGTTTTATTATTATTATATATCGTTCAACAATGATAAATAATTTAATGAGACGGTCAATGAATGAACGAGAACGTCAATATCTAATAAATCAAATTTAACGTTATTAATAAAAATTATTTATGAAAATGTTTTAGCGTACCATCTTCCGAGTTTTCCGCGTAAAACAGGTCTGGGGACCACTGCACTAGAACACGAATATTTCATAGCGTCCATTTTGCAATTACGCTATGTTACCTACATAATTCCACCGAAATTCACGTACGTGCCTGCAAGTCGCTATTCACCGCTTTTGTATTATTTTGTTCACTACCAGCGGGTTATCGGGTTTCTAGAGGTGGCAGTTAACATTGGAAAACAATTAACAACAATTCCGAAAAAATTATCTACTTAAGGTAATCTCAAAATAATATTATAATCAGCCCAGCTGCAAGTTTTCTAATGCATCCTGTTTCTATTCTAAATAGTAAAATTAATATATTTTTGATTTACATTTTTAAATGTGGGACATTATTGATTTTTGAAATTTTTAAACTAAAACTAATCGTCTAAGTAATTCATTTTAAATTCTTTTGTATTTTTATTGATAACAAAATAAGCTTGAGACCATACTTGTTTTTGTATTTAATTATTTATAGCATTGGTCTAGAATCGTATTATAGAATATTTTATGTTTTTGAGGAAAACATTTAATTGCTGTACAATATCATATATTTGTACGAAAATTTCATTTTTAATGAAAATGATTTGCACTATATACAAAATGAGTGATAGGTGATGGGCCGAATCGAGTGAAGTGCCAATTTTTTCACCAAATCTATTTGACTGACAAATATACTATCTGATATAATTGAGGACTGAATCTGATAATCTAACAACTTTATTGCTGGATCAATAGGATCAAAAGAAGATGACTTCTGCAATATTATTTCAAAAATATATACAAAGAATGATTGCTGACAAAAAAAAAAAAAAAATCTATTGGATATTTTGAAATTGATTTCATACAGTTTACAATATTTAATTAATTTTTTTATTCTGTTTATCAGTACAATATTATTTATTTAAGGCAATTTATATAATACATTTATAGAATATAATTAAATATTTCCATAATTATTATACTTACTATATTTTAAATTTTTATCTAATTTTACTCATTTTAAAAAAATTATAAATTAGTAAATTAGGTTAACACATAATTTTATTTCAGCCCTTGAGTGTTGATCAAAGATCTGTCGGCCAAATGGTTTCTCATTTTTTGTACCATACTTGTACAAAATAGACCTCCAGAATCCTATTGATAATGGTCAAAGAATCATTGGGTTATCAACAACAATACTACTAAAAATGTGACATTCAGAATAAATTATGATATAAAAATATAATTATTGTAACTTAACATTCATTTTGATTAAAATTCACATGTATGAAATAATTGTTAAAAAATAAATCAACAATTTTTTTTTTTTTTTTGATTACTTAATTGTACAACATAGAATATATTACCGCATTTGAAACTTAATATATCATTTAACATTAATCATATTATTCATTAATTCCTAAAAATTATAAAAACAACTATTAACTAAATTTAACTATAAAGGTACTTAAAAATAATAAAAAAAGAATATATAATAGTTAATAAAACACAATATTAGGGAAATCAAAATGGAATGTTGAATTTGAATAATAATTATAAAACATAATTTTTTAGCATATTTTTCAAATAAAATTTAAAAAAACCAACACTGGTAAGTATTTGTCTATTCTTTCATGTTTTAAATGTCACCAAAATACACATGAGAACCCATAAACACTGATTTGGCACATTTTCGTTGGATTGTCAAGTTATAGTTTTTAATAGCGAAATGGAGTCCATGTACCAGAGTGTTCATCTCTTCTATAATATAATGGTCGATTATCCCTGAACACAGTGACAGCTGGAAATGGATGATCTTGAACATATTTTAAAGAAGCTCGAATCTATAAAATAAAAGATTGAATAGAATTTTCACCTGTTTCTATTAAACTAAATCTACTTACAGCCATGACTGTATGCGGTGGTTCAACATCAGGAGTGGTCGACAATGCTTGCAAGATAAATTCATCAGACTGCTGGAGCCATAAATCAACACTACGCATAGGCTCATAGTTAAATGGTCCAATTCTTAATAGACCCAAATTACAGTCATACACATCCAACACCTTAAAATAAATGAAACAAAATAAAAACAATTTTCTTGTATACATTTTACATTAATTATATGTACTGGTTGTAAGCCTGTAAACAGTCTAGCTAGTCTTAATGGTTGTTCAGGTCCCTTATCTGGAAAGTTTGCAGGAAATACTTCGCCACTTTTCACCATTACACCTAAGCAATTTTGGATATCTCCATTAATAAAATAAATACTACAAATCTTGATAAAAATATTAAGTACTAATTTATAATTTTGAATAGAGAAAACATTTTAAAATATTACCAGCCCCGTAAAGCAATGGCCAATGGACATTATTTCGCATAATGGTATTAAGTTCACCTAGACATGCCAGAACAAGTTCGATTTCGGTTTGATGTTTGTGAACTGCAACTGTTTACACAACACAAATAAGTTATATAATCATTGTACTTTTTAAAAAAAAAACACGTTCGTCGTTTACCCATCAAACTATAGAACACTTGTTCACTGTAACGTAGGACATGCGAGAACCCGCCGATTAAAGACATTTCTAGGCGGCTATCAGGAAATCCCATGGACAACTCTTGAATCCTATGCACCATATTGATCACGCACTCTTCAGTACATGAACCATCTAGATGAGCGAACCCAACTGCTCCAGAACCTAAAAATTACCACATGAATACTCGTATATAATAACATCATAAACTATACAACTACTATAGTATTACCAGAGCTCGGAAGTAGATGACCTTAAAAACATTAAAAAATGACCTAAATAATTATAAATATTTGTTTTAAATTAATAAAAAATACATTTTTTTTAAGTATTATATTCTATTTTACTATAACATTCTATATAAATTTATCAAAACTTATAAATTACTCAAAATATGACATAAAAATAACAACAAATGTCCTTAAAATATGAAATAAAAAAATGAGAAACATTTGTTTCATAAATTTATCAAAGCTTACAAATTACTCAAAAATCAAAATCATTGCATTGTATCATTAGAGCGTATTTGATGTTATCAAAAGTTAATCAATGACGATTATCTGTTAATAAATATTTATATTTGGAAAAATTTCTCTTCACGTCCACTGAAGTGATTGGGAGACACAGACGAGCACTAACCGACGCATCTCGTCGCGACGTTTTAATTTTCACCATTTCGAAAATATTACGAAAAACTAATAAAATTATAATATAAATAGATAGTATTCGCTATAACATGACAATGAAGCGACGACTGTAATCGACGAGATAATATCGAATACTAATCGAATATTAGAAAAAAATAATAAAATGTTGGTATAATACTATTCACTACAACACGACAACGACGAATGTAATCAATAAGATAAAATCGGACAAGTCTTAAGTTATCGGCATAATGGTCGATATGAAACAATAAGAAATGAACTAGTGTAAAATCAGAAAAATGACTAAAAATGTGGAAAAATGACCTAAAAATGTCAAAAAATGACTTAAAAAGTAACGAACACTAAAAAATGCAAAATAAAAATTAGTTATTTGGATTCACATGCTAATGAAACACATTTGTGGCCAGGATAGCATCTTCTAAAAAGTTCGAAAAAAAAAATGCATAATGCATCAACTTCCAAGCCCCAAGTATTATCATCAAGTATAGATAATATATATTAAATATTCTACTACCAAATATATTTGAAATAATATGAAAATATACCCAACGGCAAAATTATATAGGTAAGATAAAGTAAAAGTACTTACCCGTATGTCGAAGTACGAGAATGATGCAGGTTGTAACGTCATCGGAACCAATGATCGACACATTTTCTAAAAAAAATGTTAAATATATGGTCTATAATATACGAGCATTTAAGAGGTATTATACTATGTTTTTAATAACATTAATACATTTTATGTACAGTTGAATTTTAGTTCCATATACGTACTGTCATGTGGTAAGGTGACGGCCATCTCTCGCTGGCACACGTAAAGAAGACCAATTGGTCCAATGACTTTTGTGGGGATGGTAAGCAGTTGTGATGCAGAATCCCTTAATACCGGGTGGTTGAGGTACAGCGTCCTCGTGTCCGGTGGCGGCTCATCTTGAACCACACCTTGCACTATTAACACCATCCTAGGAACAAAATAATTAATGATCAGGGATACTTATTTCTTTTTCGATAAATTATTATTTCTTTATCAAAAATGACATCGTTTTTTCATTATAATTTGTTCTTTATTTTTTTTTTTATAATCACGTCTATATAGAATATATGTTCTATATTTATATAATGTAAATAATAAAATGCAATGATGCAATTTTAAATTATTCACATAATAACTCAAAATTAATTTAAATATTTAGAAATTCATTATTATTATATTTTTATAATCAAAATGTTGCTATATATTAAAAAAAAAATTAAATAAAAATGTTTTCCTCTCGTACAAAAATACAGATTAAGACACTACGACATTTTGTGTAAATCAAATATGACATAATATAGACCTTTAAGGTTAACTAGATAAAAATAATAAATAATAGAAACATAATAGATGTTACAAACGAAATATGTTATGTTATAAATTGGTTTAAGATTTCATAGATTGATAGATAAATATTTTCTTTGCATTGGTAGAGTATTTGGTATAATACACTAGCATACTAATTTTCTTATCAACTCTACTCTACTAGTTTTAGTAGAATAACAGTTTATACGAAACTAATGATTTAGTAGAAAAGAGTACAGTATGAAGACACGTGCTCAGTTCGCACATCAACAACATTTTACTTTAATATAGGTACCAAAATAAACCTGTTTACACCAGTAGAATTCAGTTAATACGGTGGTGGGGGTAAAAACAAGTAGAGTGTACCTAACACAGTGGTAAAGTACTCTATCGATTTCTATCTTTAGAACACTACCTATACTATCCCTGAGTGTTAACATTATGCTAATAAAGGTATAGTACTAACTCTTCGTCGTACTTTACCAAATACTCTACCAATGTAAACCCGGCTTTAGTTTTGGATTACATTTATTGTTATTACGTGATGCATTGTTAATTAATTAAGTCACGATTTGATGTTACACGCAAGTTACGGCACATACGTATTTACGAACTTAAAGTTCGATTTTTTTTTTCCGTTAAAATTTAAGATATCGGTATGTGTATCTACTCAATGAACAAAATATAAATATTTTTTAATAATATTAATAGAAAAAGTGACATTTAAAATATAATACCGTACAAATGTCATAATTACATATATTATCATGATACAATGTCATGAAATTCACAAGTTTTATTGTGAAGGGTTATATTTACTTAAAGCAGCATATATACTTATACTTATATATACTTATAACAGCTTATTTTTTTAATTTAATTATTTTTAATATCACTTACTTTCTCATTAAAATTATATTATTATTATAGAAACTAATATACAGAAGTTTTATAATGGGTTTTCATCTAACACTAGCACTGAACTTATAAATTTATTAAAATCTTATAATTAAGGCAATAGTTCAATAGATTCAAAATAATAATCAAATAAATTAGTTTTTGTGTAAGGACCTAGCCTCTCAGGCTTAGAGTCTAAGCAATGCAAATACTAAATTACATTAATTAATAATAAATTTTTTTTTTTTAATAAACAAAAAGGTACTTTAAGTTTAAGATCGATATATTTATAAATAATAGTTAAGATAAAAATATAGATATTGATTTTAAAAACCTTTATCGATTATATAATTCCATAGCATAACATCGAAATCAAATAATAAAAAAATATATGTTCATAACAAAATTATTCTAGTTGAATAATCATTAATTGATTTTTTACAACTAATTTTACTAATCATAATTACATGATTAACATTTTGTAAAAAAATTATTTTAAAAATGTCAATGCACATTAAATGCATTTAATTTATTAAAGCTATAAAAGTTTTAAAATTGACACGACTCTCAAACTAATAATATGTTATAATTTTATAATTATAAATTGTATACAAGTTAAGATAATATATTTTTATTTGTGGCTTAATTTATATAATATGTATAACCATAATTAAATTTCCATTTTATACTTTTGTATTTTTACTATAATGAATACACTGGGGAATACTGAACAAGACTTATATTAATGTACATTTAATATAAAAATATAATAGGATATTAATATTAGTAGTTTATATTAATATTTGATAAAAAAAATAAAACAACAATTAAGACTCATTAATATAAAATTAAAATTTCACTTTATTCTGAATATTAAAATAACATAATTGATAGTGGTATATTTTAATTTATTTTTAATATTATAAAATAAATTAAAAACTTATGAACTAATAGAATATCAATATAATGCATATTTTTAATTAATGAATAAACAAATTTGATTAACTGATTAATTTCTTAAATAATACGTTATATTTGGTTAGTAGGTAGGTTAGTAGGTTAGTAGTAACCTACCTTACGTTAATATTATAAAAGTTCGAAAAAAGTTGAATTGGACTTTAAAAATTCATTTGATTTAATCTATAACATTTGTTTTCAACAAAAATTTAATAATAATACAATTAAAAATTAAAACTATTCATTTGTAGATATTATGAATTAATATGACGTAAATTATTAGTAAGAGGTAAATAATATACCTACGTAATAACGAATAATTAGATCCTTGATAAATACATAATATTTTGAGTTATATAATTATTACGTTTATTTTTTTAATATCTACAGATTATACATGCCAACTGCAAAGGTAAATTAATTTATAAATCAATTCAGTAACTAAATATATTTTACAATATAATATAATTTTAACGATTGACGAAGTTCGATAAGAGCGAATTATTTCGAATTCTTATTCTTTAGTCCTCAGTAATTTCATTATACATTTGTTTTACACGTATAACTTAGTATTACTTAAATTATTTGTCTAGGCATTTTTAAAGTTAGCAAAATTATTGATATTACTTTATTAAAAATATACCATTTACAATACTGTTAAAGTATATAATTTATAAATTCTCCCCTAGGTTATACAAAAAAAAGATACCGGGAGTCGTCAACGACCAAACATATATTTAAAAATTAAAATAATTTTAATTATTCAAATTATGTAACATTTGCATACGGTACGTAGAAATAGTCTACAGTGATTGTTCCATTGTTAGTACGACAAAGGTAAGCTAATATCATAATTAATATGCGTCGATAACATTTTGTTACGAATTAATATTGTGTTTACATTTAGCATTATATAACGAATAACATTTTAACCAAAAGTTTTAACCAACAGCAATTTAACTTAAATTTTAATTATTTAAATTATTTTTAGTCTATTTAAAAAATACAGTTTAAACACGATGCTTGTGTTCGTTGTTTTTTAATTTCGTATTACAAGTACTTTTTATAGTGTTTCGATTTTAAATTGTAAGGCTAACAATGTACATTGTTCTTATATTATGCAGACAAAGAATCTCATATACATGCAATGACCAATACCATACTTACCTATTCTTCACGTATTCTTACATATATAAATATATATATATATATATACTGACGATAACCCAATCATGATATTTATTTGAAATTTGTTGTTATTTTTACTTTTGTAAAAACGGTTCGTCTACCTCTTTGATTGGAGTAAGTACATAAAAGTGGATCGATCGAATTTAATAATAAATACAAGTACTTCGATTCAATGACAGAAATATTAACTTTAGTTATTATTAGGTTGGCTATTGATTTCGAGGAGTCAAATATTATAATTGGGAGGATAATTAATTCTACTCACGTGTGCGTGTGTGATGCGAATTTACGACGACGAAGACTATAAAAAAATGTTGCCACGGTATGTAAACCACAGTCGAACTGTTTTTAAAGGTGCGTAGTAAATCGAATACAAAACCAAAAGTAATGAAACAAATAAAATGACGAAAGTTCATCCGTGTGTATTGCAAGTCACACACAGTCGACGAAAAATTAAAATATACAAGACCGCGTGACAAGATTATCGTACGCGATGGTCGGCGATAAATTCGATTACAGTTAAGTTGTTTTAATTGTTTTTCGCAACAAATTCTAACCTTTCCCGTATTATTATTACAACTGCATGGCACAGGAACTCGCGCGCGTCGATCCGTCGTCGCGGCCAACCGTTTCCCGACAATAATGCACGTTGGGTACGTGCGCAGGTCCACGGGTACGTCCGCTGACTAAATCGCGTAGTTAAACGACATGAATTTCACCCGGGCGACGAGTTTTTCCCGACGGCCACCGCCGGTCGACACCCCCTCGGGCGGGCACGACGATAGGAATGGATTCGCGCAGAGAATTCTTCGGCGGCGGCGGCGGCAAACCGGTTGTTTTGTGTGTTGTATTATGGTACGTACGCGGCTGCCGCCGTGGCTTACTGGAAGACGAAGTCGCTTTCCACCAGTCGACCTATCTACTCCACCCGCACAGACACTCACGGATCTTTATTTTTCTTCGTTTAGAAAGTACCGTTGCGTTTTCTCTCTCTCTCACTCTCTCTGTCCTCCCTCATTCTCACATCCAACTTCGTCGTGTGCACTGCTATAGGAAGACGTACATACGCATGGTAATAATATATGTACACAGTATATTATACTTTATAGAGGGACCTGTCGTATACATACAATATGAGTACATGTATAAATGTGTATGCACGCGTACGATTGTGTTTCTAAACCGTGAAGCACGAGACGGTTGTAATTACGAGTCGTACGAGAAAAAAAAAGCATTTGTGTAGCCAAAACGAGACGTACAGATATTTTCCTACCATCACTATACGATCTACGTACGTCGAGATACGTATCAGTATAATATTACGATATATGTTGTACTATAGTTCCTGGTCGCTCAAGTATTAAAATCAATCGACGGAATTAATCTAATAAGAGTTATTATCGGTTACAACCGTTTCACGCCGGGGGAATTAAAAACATTACTAGAGAAATTTCACGAACAAACGTCATAAATAGGTACTAAAAATAAATAAACCTGTTACACTGTTTAATAGATATAATTTGTTTAAATTTTAGTAAACAGCACTAGTCACCCACAAGCTGTTTTGTTACGATTTTATTT